AGGCCTTGCTAACGTCAAGAAACAATGTTGTTACCGAACGCCCATTATCAATGCTTTGTGTGATGTAGTCAAAATAATCTAAGTGGCAAGTAATGCACGACCTTCTACTTAAGAAACCGTATTGGGATGGGGATAGTAGGTCATTTGACAGCAAGTACTGAATGATTTGAGTCTTAACTATCTTTTCCATTACACGTGAAACTACAGACGTGATGTTGATGGGGCGGTAGTTGTTGATATCAGCTATAGGCCCGTATTTATGGATAGGTACAATATAAGACTTCTTCCAGCAGTTAGGGTATGTCCCATCGCTTAATGAAATTGAGTATAACTTGAGTAAGAGTAAACTCATGTCATTACCACCTTTTTTCAGCAGAACGGAAGATATACCGTCTGGGCCAGTAGTGTTACTAAGCTTAAGATTTGCGACAGCTTTATCGATCTCATGTGTGGTGAAAATTATGTCACTTAAACATTCGTCTGTTTTACGTGGGAAATCCACGACTTCATCGTTCTCTAAGGTGTATAATCTGGCGAAGTGCTTGCTAAACAGTTCACATATCGCCTCATTATTTTCGTAAGCAATGCCGTCTAAGTATATTATTTTCGGATAGGGTGTTTTGGAGTTCATCAACCTACTTTTAAAAAGTTTGGCTATTTCTCCTGAGTTATGCGGTGCATGAATGGCCTGCATTTCTTTGTTTCTGAGGCCTATATTTCTCAACTCTTCAATTCTACTGAGAAGGGACGTTATGGCAATTAATGACGATAAGTCATGATATCTGTAGTATTTTATTGAGTGCTTACGTAGACTTCTTCTAAACGATGTCGGAATATAATCACTTTGGGGGAATCTGAAGTTAAGAATCTTCTCGGGTGCAATGACGTCGTGAATTGAGTTAATATTCTGATAGAAGTTGTTAAGAATTGCATCTAAGGACTGGTTCGAAAAGTACGAGTCCCAATTAGAACATCTAATTAGGTGCTGATACAAGTCCCAGTCAGCATGTGTGTACAATCTCATAGGTATCTGGCCAGCTTCATCTCTGCGTTTTGTTTCAGGAAAGATGTCAAAAGAACAAACTACTATTCTATGGTCACTACCTGGAAATTCATGTCCAACATGTACGGTAGATGGCGTTATGTTGTTCGTGAAAATAAGGTCTAGGATATTTGCGGATCTAGTGGGTGAATTTATGTGTTGTGTCCACCCTCCTGTGACGATGGAATTTATGAGATTATCGTACCTTTGGGGTCCTCGGAGTGAAGACCATGATACTTCTGGCAAGTTGAAATCGCCTCCGATAATTTTATAACTGAAAGGAAGATTGGCTGTAACATTAAAGATATTGCTAAGCATATTATCATATTCCCTGCTGGATGAAGGGGGCCGGTACACACAACCCACAAGTATAGGTTTACTTCTGACAACTTTTATTTCGACCCAGATCGAGTCATTGAGTTGTGACAGAATTGGGTTACTAAACTGGGTTGCACACATGGATTGTTCACAGTAAATTAGTGTTCCACCCCCACGACCTGTCCGTCTGTCCCCGCGAAAAAGGTTGTATTTATCAATCCTTAGGCTGTCATTGGAGATTTCACTTGTGCACCAGGCTTCGGTGATCATAATCAATGACGGTCTGCATATAGAAGCTATTGTACTTAGTGCTAAATGTTTGCTTAGAACTGATCTCGTATTTACTAGGATAATAGATAAACACTGGCTATGTGGTTTCAGTGAGCGGACAACATCTTGGTAAAATAATCCGTGAGTATCCTCTATATACATGTTATCAGACTCATTTACCAATATCTTTGGATCGTAGGAAGACTTCAGGTAGATTTTTGAGGTGGTAGTCAGGGATGGGCTTACGTTTGGATATGGTATGCAGTGAGAGACACCTGTGTGATAATCAGATATTAATATTTTAGAGATATTAGTATCCGCGTTTGGTGTCGACACTGTGTCAGCTATCTCCCGGGAAATATGCCTTGCCCTAGCTGTAGACTGTTCGCTATGCCAGCAAGGAATTGATCCGATATCATGCGTGCTATATGCATGATTCCAGGTGTTTCTGTTAACTGACGCTGGTGAAAATCCTGCCCTAAGGTATAACCGATATGTGTATTCGGTAATTTGTTGCCAGTATAAGAATGAAGTGTTGGTATCTGTTTCTGGTATTCATCAGACCATGGCAAGTTTTGTGCAGAAATCGGCACATGCTCCCCACTAGACACATAAGATATATGAATGGGTTCTGTTGGCTTGCTAAATGTGGTCTGTGGCCGATGTTTGGGGTATTTTCTATAACTTTCAGTAGACAGAATATTAGAAGTGGGCTGGTTGACAAGGGGTTTACGTAGTGGATGTGCAGAACAATACCTACTACTTTGCTGTGCTGTTTGTCTAGAATTAGGGATTCGATAAAATTGGCTTTCCACTTGGCACCAATTAGGCCTACCCCTAGGAGCTTCGTCTACCATATTTGACTTTCTCTTACAAAGAAGGCCTACAGGTGCTTTCGTCTCTTTCTTATCAAAGAGCTTTCTTGCTCCGGGTTTAGTATTTAATTTATTTACTTCTTTTTCCCCTATCTTATGATTATCTGGCTGATGATGGCTAACAGGGCAGTCAGCACATGCTATGTAGGGTTTCTGTGGCTTGAACACCTCATGAGCTTTAGTTTTCTTAATGGAAATGGGACGTTTGTCATAACGCCTAGAAAACTTGCCAACTTGGGTGGCTACATTCGACTGGTGCTTTACAGAGTGTGGATTGTCAGACCGAGGAGTAACTGACTTATAAGGCAATGGTTGGACCACCAGTGGGATGGGTTTTGATGGTTTCGGTGTCTTGACTTTTGCGTCAGTGTGAAAACGATGTATTTCAACATTATTTCCCGTTGACTCATCTATGTCCACCATTTCAGTGTCTGCATCAATATCGTTATATAATGCTTGGCTAACATTAGCCACTACCTGCGAAAATGTCTGTTGCATGCCGTGATCAGATATTTCAATAGACGGAATAACGCACGGAACATCATCTACAGTTATCCTATTAGAGTTATCAGGGTTCACTGTTCCTGAGCGGCATCGCCTTTGGCATGGTGTTAAATCAGGTGCAACCCTAATGTTAGTGTATGGTGTTGAAGAGCCTATTTTCTTACCCGATTTCAGAAAATTCCTGGCTTCTTCGGTAGACCTAAACTTGAAAAGCACAGGACACGGGTGGTTTGCAGATTTCTTACGAAGACGCAAACCTGACATTCTGTCAACGACATATTACAAGCCTTTAGACACGAATTCTTAAGTTTGGCAATCGGCTCTCTGTCTGGAATGTTATAGGCCAAGACGTTATGTGAAGACATAATCCTCTTAACAGCTTCTTCAGCCAAATAGTCAATTATGCGCTCGGATTTGATTAGTGATTCAAAACAGATGTTTTGTGGTGGGTCACACAGTTGCGTGAGAGGCATAATGCTGTCAAACTTGCTCTGTAGTTCTGCTATTGACTTCTGAAGTGTCAGTAAATCATTTTTGCTACAAGCCGCATTCTCTGCTAATTCCTCCATGATATCAGATACCATAACTCTGGGTATGGCTGGTGTAAACAGTGTAGAATTGTCAACGGAGCTGAGGCCTTCAGATGGCTGACTAGTATTAGATCTCAGTCTCTTAACGGTACTTACACGTTTGATAGACTTAACCATTACAGAAATAAGAAACTTCACAATTTCCGGAAAAAAAGTCTTGAGGATATAAAAATAAGATAGCTGTATTATCGAAGTATCAAAACAACAACGATAAACAGATTTATATTGCAAAAATAAAAAGTCAGACTTTCCAATACACTCTGTCCCTTCTTTGACCCAGGCATTGTTGAACTTGGCCCAATTCCAAAAAAGTTCCAGATATTGCTTGTTCAAAGAGGACGTGACCGGCACCAGGAAAGATGAACGGTGACTATCCAAACTGTCACCAATGGTCTAAAACCGTGGAAAACTGACTTCACCGCCAGAAACTGTCAGCCACGTCTCGTAAACCGTCAATGCCCAGCTCTTGCTACGCTCGGGCTCACGCTGTTCCTTGAAGTTTTTCAGAAACGCTAAGGAATAACGGACGCAAAAACCAAAACACCGATTGGCCGCTTGAGAATTCTTTATTGTAACACCAACATACAAAAAATATTTCTACTAAGTTTTCTGACGGTTTATTGCTGACTTCTTTCTGAACAGCGACCGATGAGACGATGACTGTCGTATTGATGCCTCCGCAAAAATTGGGGAAGTTGGTTTTGAGCAAACAACCATGAATTCATCGTTCAATCTTCAACTTCATTGACACGAGAATTTGTGGAATTACGTCGAGACCTAATCACCTAAAAAGTCAGCTTAAACAGTGTGGCTCAGCGCCCATTGTGCAGTGAAGAGTGCTGTGGTCGAATAATTTTGGTGACAGATAAACTTTTCATAGAACTACTTGTTTTGTGTGTTCTTCATGGGGATAATTTAGGAATTCTTCGCAGCCAATAAAGTACCAACAATTAACAAATCAATCGAGAAAACGGGTATCTGACAAGGTTTCTGCTGCTCGGCTAGCTAGCTTGAACTTCTCAGGAGAAAACCCTAACTCGAGTGTCACCAGGCAGTAGAATGTCGAACTAGTTAGATGATATAGGGCGGCCAGATTAAAAGAGGCAACAATGTTTTGATGAAATAAAGAAATACCACTTGACAGAAATTTTCAAAACAGGTGGAACAGACAGTCAGCAATGAAGCATAGTATAGATGGAACGTGTATTATATTTATGAAATCTGCTGATTAATTATCTTATACATACAAGCGTTGCATAGGTTTTTGGCCTTATTTTATGAAACAGCCTTGAAGAATGAATTAAAATTAAAATTTTGCGCATAATTTCCTGTTAAGAAAAGTAAGAAGGTATTGCAAAAATTATATTGGCCATTGTACAAGTGGACTCAGCTTAACCTAGAGACTTCGTAGCCTATTTGAAAGTCGCGTCGTCAGTCAAGGTCATTGCTCGGTAGATCTTTTTTTTTAATGTGCACAGATAACCAGCCAATAAGACATTTTGAAAATTTCGAATCCATGAGCGTATGGAAAAATTCATGTACTTAAAATTCTCAATTACTGCTACTTCTCACATCCATCTGCAGCTGTAGCATTGCAATGCTGAAGACATGTCTTCAGCTTATTGCCTACACTTCGGGCCCCATATAGAGTTTCAGGCATATTTACACTGTAAAAGTCTCTTGACATATTTTTTTCCTAATGAAGTGTTCCTAATCACCAGGTGTTGCTTCTCTCAGTGACTAGAGAAAAGAATGCTAATTTCTGTAGCTATCAGTCAGAAAATATAGCCTGATGTTTCATTCTTAATAGTTTAGTGCAACATATGATAAACCCTGATATCTCCCAAACGCATCTGAAGGAATAGTCCTGCTACATCTGTTTGTGTAAACACAAACAGAAGTTCAGTCTGCACCAAGGAAAGGACTAGAAACGTCACACTAGTTACTAGTGTCCTATCAAAATACCCACTACAATCCTACAGGAGGTAAATCGCGAGCCCGAATAGCTCAGTAGTAACGTCTCTGACTGCAGCACTGGGTGACGCGGGTTCGAAACTCAAGGGACATGAGTTCCTTCAAGGTTGCGGATACGCCTTGCTGATGAGTACCAACTAGCACGAAACTTAGGTCCAAGGCTTCCTGCTGATTGCCACCATCTAATATCATCAAATCAACATGCACCGTGATGTCCAGCTACCTAGAATGGTGGTTACATTGCAAATCTGACTGATAAAATTCAGCCTGCACCAAAGAAAGGACTAGAAACGTCACACTAGTTACTAGTGTCCTGTCAAAAAGGTTAAAGTTCATTAAATTGAAAATTTGCTTAGTGAGCTAAGCTCACTAGTGTGTATGACTAATCAGTGTAGTGAAAGTAATACGGTTACCAAAGGAGTGTGAGATTGGCTACACTCTCTTTTTGTGTGCATAAGTTTGATCCGATACGTTTGATTGCCATAGCTTCAGCGAATCGTAGTGGATTCGCTGTCCTATGTATGTTTGATATCTTGAAGTATTTGGAAATCTCAACAAAATGACCCATATCCACAATGCGATGCCTAGGCATACGTAAACAAGACTTCCTTGTTTTTATGCGGATATAATTCAAATAAACCCACAGTATTCTGCCGCTCTCTATATTTAAATCACTGTTACGAAAAACTTCCATTCCGAAACATAGCGCGTGTTTATATTGAATTCACACTAACCACTTAGTTGTTGGATAGGTCCGTAAGAAGCTTCTGTAGAATCCAGCTTCTGTGTAAATTCAATAAATATTGATTATATCTTATTTTTAAACTGAAATTGATATCACAAGTACCATATATGCAACCCCAAATGACGCATTATATCTGTTAAAATTGACTCAGTCATGTAGTACTACTTTTTCACATACTTAAATGTTTTACATGAAGTGTATTTATTTCCTTATTTTGAGAAGTTTAATAAGACCCTCATTGCCCAAAATTTTATAATAAACTTGATTCTTTCCATTTCTATTCTCCTTACGACAAGTCTTTGGTAATAGTGATTCCGACGATTGATTTTGAACTGTAGTTTTGATCTTTATCACATATTTCATCCGATATTAGTGATGTATCCTCTGGATTAATATAATACCTGGCTGTTGCTTTAACTATAAATCATGCCCTACTTACTTGCACGATTAGTTATCTCAGATTCTATTTAAGTGTTATTTGTGCTTCTATAGCCTCCGTTCAACAGCGTAGTGATGTTTTTATTGTTAGATTGTGTTCATAATATGTTTTAGCTGACTATTAAAATAATTCGTTATAAATGAGTTTATCATCGAATTTTAACATTGCTTTTTGCTTTTTTGAAACTCTAGTCAACAATACAATCAGCTTCATTTAATCATGGAGAATCAGTACAATTATCCAACTGATGATAGAATTCGACAACAGCAAGCCAAAGTCCAAGAGGTGAAATTTTATTGTATTTACTAAAACATGACATACTTTCAGGTTGTTGGGATTATGAAGGATAATGTTAACCGTGTCCTGGAGAGAGAAACCCGTCTGGCAGAAATCGATACTCGAGCAGGTATGTTTCGTCTCTCTCTCCCACCAATGTATTTACGCTTTTATTCAAGTTTTTATACTCTCTTGTTTGTTTTTTCTAATCTAAACGAGGTAAACTTTGGGTATCAGAGCTTTCAAACAGGCTCTCTTTAACAAAACGGCACTTAGAGAACTTACCAGGTAGTCTCAAATATATATATATATATATATATATATGAGTGCTGTGTCAGCTGACATACATTTGTCGGTGATCAAAATTTAGCGGTGTTGTGTTGCTTTTTGTAGGTCTAACAACAACTTATGGCCTGTATGGGAAAGCAAAGGAGTAGTGTTATTTGATGCAGCACATGCCATTTAATCAGTCCCAAAATTACGGCTAAACCAAGCACCCCTTGGGTGCTATTTTGACCGATAGCTGCCACCTTGACATGGTGGTTACGCTTGCATTTCTCAACGGCCCAATCCAGCTACGCTGACTGGAACTCACTTTCCTGCATGGCATAGCATGTCAGTAAGGTTGTTTGAGTGGTGGTTGGACTCAAAACAGTTAACATAATGCAATTCGTTGACATTATTTAAGGAGTCTAAGGCCTAAGTTCGTACTGCTGGTAAATATAGTAATAATAATAATAACTTTATTCCAAAAACAGTACTCATGATACAGCAAGGAATTTTCAGCATTCAGTACAATATTGCATCTAATTTACTCAAAAACGACAAAAAAATTAAAAATACACATTACATAATAGTAATAAAACGATTGTTATAGCAGCTACGTAGCAAAATACTGTGTGCCATACGGAGAAAAATATGTATAAAGTACAAAATTGTAGTAATAATAGTAATACCAACTAAAAATAAAATAGCAGAGTAACGATTTAAACGATAGAAAGTGTGACACCATAAAATACAGAAAGATGAACGATAAAAGGGTCGATTCACTGTGCTAATTACATAGTAACTTGTAAGTTTCACGTCTAACAGAGTCTTCGTCACATAAAGTACGCGCTAAATAGGGTATTGTAGAATTTCTATACTTAGTAGTACGAGCATATATCTTTTTATATTGATTTCTCGTCCTACCTGATGAGATACAAGGGGACAGGTGTGAATAAAGGGGGTGCAGAGGGTCTGACATTATAGCCTTTGCCCATTTCGTACAGGAATTTATATGCCTCTCGACTATAGTATTAGCGAGCTCATGCAGTGGCAGACCACAAGCTCTACTCACAGCATTTAATACTCTTCGTAATATGATATAATCTTTTTTGAGAAGCCCAGGAAAGATTAATGGAGAGCAATAGAGTACAATAGGTAAAATACAGGAGTTTAAAAATTGCAAAACTAAAGGTTGGTTGATACCTGATTGTCTTAACTTTTTAATGTAGAAGGTAAGACGAAACATTTTCTTAGAGATAGATAAGATATGGGATGACCATGAAAGGTCAGAGGAAAAAACTAATCCAAGGTATTTAATGCTTGATTTGGTTTCAATTTCCGTGCCATCTATGCTACAGGGATCATGCGAGTTAACTAGTTCAAGTAAGTCACGTCGATGCTTGAAAGTAAAGTCAAGCGCCTGACATTTGGAAGGATTTAATATAAGACCATTTGACTTGGACCAGTTGTTGATGTCCAACAGAAAGCTATTAAGTTTGGAGCTGTCAGACTCGGAAGTGATAGGCAGTGATACAGTCAGATCATCTGCATATTTGACAAAGTTAGTTTCGTTTGAATGAGGTAGGTCATGTAGGAAGAAAGAAAAAAGAAAAGGAGAGAGTACAGCACCTTGTGGAACACCGGATTTTGTAAGCGAGGTAGAAGAAGATTTGCCGTTATATACAGTATACTGCATTCTATCAGAAAAGTAGGAATGCAACCAACTCTTTGCCCAGGATCCTGTTTGTGTCAACGATAGCTTATTTAACAAAAGGCCCCTAGGTACAGAGTCAAAAGCAGATGTGTAGTCTAAGAAAGCACTACGAACATATTTAGCACCTTTGTCTAAACAAGAGACAACATTGTGATATAAGACAACCGCAGCATCCAAGGTACTTCTACCATGTTTGTATGCAAATTGTTTAGGATCATTAAAAGGTTTCAAAGCGGGTTCAAGACGAAGTAAAAGTAATTTTTCCATCAATTTTAAAAAGGGGGAAGTAATTGCAATAGGCCGAAATTTAATATCAGAACCAGAAGATGGTTTTGGTATAGGGATAATTTTAATGTTTTTCCATGCAAAAGGTAGAACGTTACCGGAAAAAGAAGCATTAAAAATGTTAGTAAGAGGATAACACAAAATATCAGCACAATTCCTGAGGACAATGGCAGGTATGCCGTCAGGACCAAGGCTTTGAGAAGGCTTAAGAGACCGGAGACATTTAAGCACATCAAGGGTATTAAAACCACTAAAGTTATTGTCAATATGATTTGTATCATTTGGAAGGGTATCAACAGAAGAGCGTATGAAAGATTTGTTAAGAGTGTCAACATTAAGAGATGGAACAGAAATACATCGCTTACCGTTAGTAATTTCTTTGAATAGTTTCCATAAATTAGAAGGGGTTTTACATGACAAAAATCTTTGATTATATAAAACATTTAGTCTTTTCATTTCCAGTTTTATCAGCAAGTTTAACTTTTTTACACCAGGCTTATCATTATTTTTGAACAACAGTTCTTTATTTCTACGTAGCTTTTTGAGATATGGGGAAGATAAGCGATCAAATCGAATGAATAATGTTTCTTTAAGACAACATATTTCGAGACAGAATTTAAGATAATCGGTAGTGTTTGTGATTGTTTCATCTAATGTTTGTTCTGTAAATAAGTCCCAGTTAGTGTCTTTCAACATGCATCTGAGCTTGTCTAGGTTGTCTTTTGAGTAGCATCTTCGTTGAACTATACTGTAGAGGTGAGAAATATCAATGCAACTGCAGTAAAATGTTTCTCTTGGACGATCAACAGGCCATCTTTGCTACTTCTCCTTCCTGGAAGAGAGAGGTAGAAAGAGTGTGTCCGAAAAACTTTTCATGCTGCCTCACCTTGTAGCTGGTGGTAAGTTCTTTATACGGACAACACCAAAAACCGATTCAAACAGTTTGTGCATGATCTGCCTCAAGCACCTGTCCATTGAGCTGTCCAGTTACGCAACACTAATGCTCGTTCTGTTTCAGGAATTTCATGGGAAAAAATCAACTTTCACAGTCTGGTCTACCGATAAGTGGTTACCACCTACCTCCCATAAGCACACAAATTAGTTAAGTATAATTCTTTAATAGTTTTGCCACTTTTCGTGTTTACAAATAGTTAATGAACGAATAAGCACAATGGATGCATCTTTAACTGACTGAGTTCCAGTGTAGAACTTTGTACAAATGTGCAGCAGTTCAAGTTACCGAACCTCATAATGCACTCACATGTATAGGTGAAACGACAAAGCAATTACAATAAGTGAAAATACATGACACAAAGAATAAGTTTATAGAGAGTAATGTTAATTTATAAGACTCACGAAAGGGCACTGAATGAATGCATTTGTACCATTGAGACCGATATTAAGCTATGCCACCAACAGTCTCCAGCCGTTGGTTCTTGGTGTCTCGAAGACCTCGGTCAACAATCTACACCTCCCTACGCGGTTCACATCAGCTGTCAAAGACTTTATGGAGTGATACCCCCTAATTCTTTTCCAACCTAATTCTATGTCTGATGACAGGCTGATGAGCAAGGCGGTGGTTTTGCATGTGTTACACTTGTTCTAGCCATCTTAATAGATGTAGACCGACCGAAAGCTGCTAACCTTGACGTGGTGGTCGGGCTTGAACACCGCAATGATCTATTCAAGCTATACTGGCTGAGACTTATGTCTCTTGAGGTCCTACCATACCAGACAGGTTGTTTGGATGGCGGTTAAACAAAAAGCAGCTACCCAATCCAACATCATGATAAATACAAAATCACAAATTTTCATGCCGGATCGGCCGTGGCCCGAACTAACAACGACTGCGCTTCCTGCTGCCGTGTCACAGGGCAGGAGTGATAAGTATGCTACTGAGGCACACCAAACAAAAGAGAAAAAACAAAAACAGGCCGCGTGTGACCGGCCTCAAGCAGTTGTCCCCTGGGCTCTGCGGTCACGCAACCAACTTCCACGGTGTGGGCAGCCGGGAAGTAACAATCGCCCTCACAATCCGAAACGCACGCGAAACCTCTCTATATTACTCTAATAGATGTAACCTCACAACCTTATCAATTGACTTGCCTTCATTTCCCAATAATCTACGCCTCATCTCAAAATTACTCACCATATTATTTCACTTAACACGGGAGTTAGAACACAAACACGTGTTGTCATAGAAAAATAGCCTCTTCAACTTGCACCAACTCTCTTGCCATTTTAAAGAGAGACACTACATACGTCCTTTGGTAGACATATTATGTTTACTCCACAGATGACGTAAGTTAGCAAATGACACGCTAGGGTGCTTAGAGTTCCGAAGACTGCAATGTGAATAATGAGATTGCGTCACAATGACTGAGAACCACTTTGAAAACGACTCTTAACTCATCCAAATTATGCCGTTCGTTCACCAGCCAACCAATACCCAGTTCACTTAATCAAGATAAATTGATTGTTTTCACCTCTTCCTGCTTCTGTGAAGCAAGTTACATTGAGCATTCGTTAGGTTAGTGCATCCTGGAATTTCTGAACTCAAGACATCTTGGTTAGATAAAGGACTGAAAAAAGCGATTCACAGCTCGTTACTAGCTCATCTCGTTGATAGAGAACATCAAATCGTCATTAAGAGAGTTTTCAAAATTATTAGTTGTATTTTACCGAACTTTTTGAATGGTCTATGAATACAACTTTTATATGCAGTCAGGGGCAATTAACATTCACCTGAACAAGTAAAACCTGTGTTTTCGAAGGGATTTCGTGGAGTTCCTTTGTTTACGGTTGCCATCCACATAATATGTTCAGAATTTTACAAAATTATCTTCCCCTGTCCTTGGAACCAT